ATGCTTATTATCTTATTAGACCGATTTCTAAATATTGATATTGGGTGCAATGTCATTGTCGATGTTTACCCAATGTTCCTACTGTGTCCCATTAATATTAGTATAGTAGTATGAATTAGTAGCACGATTTTACCCAGCGCAGCGGGTACCCGCAGCTAGTATATATATATAACCACAGTGCCAACATATTTAACACCGCAGCAATAACGACAATCACATGAATATAAGAACTCTAGATATGTACAATCCAGTGAGTGGAGCCGGCGTACGCCCCCCCCCCGTTTGCAAGCCCAGAAAAAAAATCAATAAAACCTATAGTAACCTATTTACTACTTACTATAGTAACCTAACTTCAATTGTGTACGCTATCTGGAAAGTCATGAAAAGTGTTTTAAATCCTAAATTGTAGGGAGGGGTGGGGGCACATGGGCAGTTGCACTCCCAGAAAAAGTAGCGTGGGCTGCATTAGTCCAAGCCGACGCAGACCCCAGTAATGGGGTTAAACCCGCACCCTCAGAATAGCAAAGCGGAGTTATAATGTCTGCATTTGCGGACAAGGGCTGCATAGACAGACTGCCTGACAACATTGCGCAAATGTTGATGATGGGACGTTCTAATTTCTCTCTTCCTTTTTAATTGTAAATTTGACACTTTTTTCTACTGCGATCCGCAGTGTTAATCTGTCTCCTAATTCTGTCTTCGATACTTGGACGTTGAAGATTAATATTCATGAGATTATGAGGTCATTGACCATATGCATGAATTTGCTAAGGCCGATGAAAGTTGATGTCATGGTTCTCGTCAGCGCCCGCATCAAATTTTACTCCCGCACCAAAAAAGTTCAACACTCATCGCTGACGAAATTTCCGCATCAAAAAGTCCACATATGAAATTCCCGCCTCAAAAAATCAACAATATACAGTCAGCACTACATGTATGGAAGACAAACAGTAAAAATTTGAGTAAAAACTGTCAACAAAGAAGTTATGACATTTTTCAATCTTGTTTTGCATATGTACAAAACCTGATACCCTCACTAAGTTCTATTGGTTTGTATATGAAAGATGAATGTTGATCTAAATCCCTCATCAAAATCTCAGCAATGCCTGACGAGAACCATGAAATCAACTTTCATCGGCCTAACTGGAGGCCGACTTATTAGCAAACGGTCAATTTTTTCCTCCGCCGTTTCCGTAAACCGGTTTTTTCTCGTCATCGCTGTTTTAAAAAACCCTTGCGCATACAAAGAAATTATTAGAGAAACTACAAAGCAAATAATAAAGGAAAATATCTTTTACACATAAATGTTTTTCGCCTTGCTAAAACTGCTTATTTTATTCAATTTTCTTGAGAATTATTTTTTGAAGTGGAGTTTTGCGCATGTTTCTCGCTGTACTTTGGTCATCACGTTATAAGCTTTTCTTGTCACGTGATCATAAATTTGGCAGAAAAGTTCATATGCTTTTCCTGTCACATGATCATAAATGTGGCAGAAAATACACAACATGGCGCAAATGACGTCATATATGTTCTCAAGTCTTAACCAATCATTGGTGCGCAAAGCGCGTGACGTTTTGACCGAAATCGGAACTGGGCCAACTGGCATGTATTTTCAGGTCAACAGTTGTAACTCATTGAGATTGTAGTGTAGTCGTCTTTTGTTTTTCTGATACAAATTCGTAGAGTTTATCACATTATTTAAAAGCGTTGGTGTAGAGGTTCGGATGGAAGAAGTATGGGACTGTTGATAACAAAGTTATGGAGCCTCTTCGGCAGCGAAGGTAAATGCGACTGATTTCATTTTTTGCTTAGGTTGGCAATCTTTTGTGAACCCAGTCGCAAATTAGGCTAAGTGGCACTGTAAGTCTTACGTAAGACTACACGGCAGTACCGCAGCACAGGCATTTATAAACGATAGAACTAGGAGTATCCGAGTAGGAGTAACTTGTAAGTATCTAGGTAGTTTGTGCACAAGGGCGTGCGTGTCATCCGTAGGCTGTGTGCAGGACGTAACAGTGCACTAGGGCCTACTAGTACTACTAGTACTACTACTAGTACTAGTACTAGTACTACTGTACTACTAGTACTAATAGTAATAGTAATACTAATAAGTTAATTTCTACCCCTGTACTCAGCTGTAGTCATATATAGCTGTACATATATGACATATGTTACTTTTGTCACGAAAGTGACCCAGCCAATGCTTGGTACACTACTATATATACACTAGTACTACATCAATGTTTTACATCATGCAAAGTATGTATATATCATTATATGGACAGCAGCCGGGGTAGAAATGAACTTTTGAACACGGGAGTCCAACGGACTCCCTACACTCAAAAAGAGTGAGTCCGCAGTCTGAGGGTCAAAATTAATGATATTAACAATAACGCATGTGCTTATTTTAAGATTCATGCAGTTGCACGTCTGCCAAATTTTCTTTGGACATGAGCTGAAAAATACGGTAATTCTGCGAGGCTGTGCTCTGGAACGAACTAATTAGTATGACAGAATTTTCACGGAGTCACACGGACTCCTGCATATGTCAAATCAGAAAGTCCGACAGTAAATCAGGGAGTATTTGACTCCGAACTCCCGTTAATTTCGCACCCTGGACAGTATACTGTGATCTCTTATAGAATGTATATATTCTGTTCAACGTTTCTGTATGTTATACGATATCTCCATAATATATATATATATACCAATTGTGTTAGTTTAACAGTTAGGTCATGTCAAGCTATGTTATCTCATGTTATCTGATCTTAAATCCTTTCTAATCTTTTCTTAACAACTTCTATGTTAGGTCACGTACAGGTTATGTTGCCTTTCCTAACCTTACCTTTACATTATCTTACGTTTATGTTCAGCCATTCATTAAATGTATTTATCTTCACCGTGTTGCAATTGCTGTATTTACTACCATTTCATGGTCTGATTATATTCTGAAAAGCTATCATAATGTCATGCTCATTTATAATAGCCTCACTTATATTCATATGCCTCGTCACTGAAGATTATACATTCACTGTCTTTATTATGGTAGTCTTTCATGCTATCAAGAGCATATAAAGAAGGCTTTTTTATATGCTCTTGATGCTATGTTATTCAATGTCGTCTGTCCATAATCCTTGCATTGCATGTATTCCTTATCCATTTACTAACTGCGCAATTATCGAATTTACTGCAGTAGCATTTCTTCTTGTATGAGATTATTTTATATATATAAACACATATTTTGGTCCCAAAGGAACCCAGGCAATGCTGAGTTATTTCGTGTTAGTCACATATATAATCAACTTCATTTTATGATATTGCCCTTTCTTCTAAAAAAAAGTAAATGTGTAATGGTTAACTTTATACAACCAATTGATGCTTTTTGACCACTTCAGCACTGAAAAAAAACAATGAAAAATTGGTATGTTTACCATTGGTGCATACGTGCATATATACAGTCAAACCTCGGATATCCATACATCAATTATCCGAATTTCGGATTATCGGAACAAGATGTCAAGGTCCCGTGAATATTTAATAAGCCACTAGACCACCTGTGACCCGTTGGGTCACCCACTAGTCAAAAGTTATGAAGAATTCAAGCTAATTTCAATATTGCACCGAAATGAAGGTTTATTTTGAGATAATTTAATTAAATATTCCAATCCATTCGTGTTATTCATAATTCAACAAAGGATATTTGATATCCTTTGTTTAGTGAGCGCTAGATATATGTGGCGTGCGTTTGACGTAACGTTGCCTGGAAACAGTTGCTGACGTAATTTGCCTGTGAATAAAAACTCTGTAAACATGTTTTTTATGCACATTAATTATGTTCAGTATGGCTTCCTTTATTTACGATCAGATTAGTTTATCCGAACAATCAGTTAATATCTGAACAAAATACTCCCTGCCCGTCTCGTTCGGATAATCGAGGTCTAACTGTACATGTGTCTCCTAGATAGACTCCACATGTAGTATGTATCTGTTCATAAGTTTCAGCTATTTAGCTTTCAATTCACATAATTATGAAAGTCTTGTTTGCAAATGTTCAATTAATTTTACTTATAAAGTTTACATTTAAATTTGGCACAATTACATGGAGTATATTATTATACCATACCACACGGTTATAAAACACGAATGATTGTACTCAAAAACACTAATTTGGCATTTTGCAAGTAGATACTGTTACAATACATAATTCAACATTCTTGTTTAGAAAACTTCGCTAGTCATAGATGATTAAGGTTAGGTGATATGATCCAGTATAGTGTCAGGAATTGACACTGCACACACTAATCTTGCAATTGTGTGCCAATGTTCCACAAGATCTAGGTCATTATGTCAATATTAATGTATTGTTCGCTATTAGGTCGAATTTCTATATGCATTTTATGTACAGTTAGGATGGTCATGGACTTGTGGCACTTCTGTAACTGTTAGCAGTATACATATATTTATTTACCACAAATATTCATGAATCAATGATGGCTGGGATATATGCACATACAATCCAATGTGTATTCAACCAGGAGTGAATAAAAGCAATTGGTTCTACCTTGGAGTAATAAGCTGACTTATTACTCAGCTAACTATAAATCAGCTCTATATAATTAAAAGTTTATAATTCTAAGGTTATAAGTCAGCTTATTACTCCAAGGTTCTATTCACTCCTGATAGAATGTATATACAATAGACAAGGCTCGACACTAGCGGTGGCCCGGTGGCCCGGGGCCACCAAAACTTCATGTCGGGCCACCAAAATTTCCAAAAGTTGAAATTTGGTGGCCCGATCGGGCCACTAAAATTTCAAAGTGTCTATGTACACACATGCGTCCCGGGAAGGGTCGATCGGTACGGGACGCGGGACACATGGGCAAAATACGGGACGTCTGGTCACCCTGATTGCTAGCTAGCTGCACTGGTGCTCACTGTTTCGGATCCAAAGCGAAACTGCCAGCGTTCGAAAGTTCGCGTAGAATAACTGAACTATTCCATGAAGATGATCAGTATTTTAATCCGAAGTGTAATATTAGTGCTTTGTAAGTTTATTTATGCATTTTCTCTGTCTCTTTACGCAACGAAATATTGAACTTAGTCTTAGACATGGCTGCTTTTTCTTTTTAAATGCATGCGTACCCAGGCTACTTTGTTGATATAATTATGGTTCTACTTTATCTTATTAAATCTGCAATATTTTATTTTTACAGTTTCAAAGCCTGCCAGACATTTTAACTTTCATGAGATTAAATGTATATGTTTTATTTTAACATGAAAAGCCAATGTGTTGCTGTTTTATTACAGTTACTTGTTGCATGCTCTGTGACTTTGATCTTCTTGAACGTCTGAACTGATCGATAGCATGTGCACGCGCGTGTTTAGATAAATAATGAGTGAAAGTAGAAAAATGGTATGCAAGATTCTGGTGAAAATTTGATGCCGTGGAATGGATAATTCAAATGTATGCCTCAATCATCAATGTCAGTGTGTGCCATTGTGTGGGGTTTGTTTAAAAACTTGTGCAAGTGCATCAGACGGCCCAATTTTCAAATAATATACAATACGAGATTGAAATAAAGATTTATAATGTTTTTCTTTGTTTTTTTTTCGGGCCACCAGATTTCATTTTCGGGCCACCAAAAATTGAAAATCAATGATTTTGGGGGCCGATCGGGCCACTGAAAAAAAAAGTTAGTGTCGAGCTTTGCAATAGACATGTTTCCCAATAGTGATGGCGTATTAGGGCGCGTTTGTTTGGGACGAATATATGGACGAAAAGGTAACAATATATGCTTCAACACGTTCGTTATGCACCAGTTTAACTCGCATTTAAGCGTAGTACATAATAATAATAACATTTAAGTGTAGTACGTAATCTTGTCAATGACGCATGTGTCATTCCGGTCGTTGGGCATCATGTCTGTCATTGATATGGGTAGCACCACAGGCACCTGGGACAGAGTCAGTAAAAACTGAAAATAATATGAACGCACATTCGCAGCGCGAGTGCGGGAGCGTTCTGCGTTAGTTTTTATGAAGGAAAGTTGATATACAGTGACACAACAGTGGAACTGTAATTGAGAGGTACGGTAGTAGGGCCTATTTGTGAATGTGCGTTCATAGTATTTTCAGTTTTTACTGACGCTGTCCCAAGTGCCTGTGGGTAGCACGTAATTCATACATGCAAGTTTCGCTAGCTCTAACGCCCTCGGCTGCTGTGTGTGGCCCTGACTGGGACAGCAAGGCTGCGTACCAATAGCAGTGCCTGTACTTTCACTTTCTGCAACCTCCCTAATGAAAGAGAGTTCTCACATTCTTTGTTCAACGGTGGGGTGCGCTCCACGGCCCCCACCCCATCAGTGCGCAAAAGTGGGTCAATGCAGTCAACCCATCTTTTAATGCATGTGTGCCATCAATGGAGCTAGTTGCTGCTATTAGTATTACAGCACAGTGAGTTATTCACTTGGACGGCCCTTTGTTTGCACGCGACAGAGGCAGCGAAGGTGAAAGTTGTTGTCAGGGCTGAGGGCATACTGAAGACGGTATTTAATAAGCCGTGACACTTTCTATTCTCGTCACATTAAAGTTGTGTTAAACACGTGACACTAGGACCGACGAACGGTGAGAAAGGATCTGCATGTTACCTGCTAAATCTGATTGTAAATAGGGGGCACTTGAGTGCATGTAGTGCTTGAGGAGGGGGAATTTTTATTCACGAGCTCATAGCTGTATGTAGCTTGAGTGAAATAGTACTAGAAAGAACAGGGGTGTAGCTAGCCCATTTAGCCTTGGAAGGTGGGGGGGTTAAAGTTACGTGCGAGTTGTGTTCTGGGCAGGTGACCCTAGGCAATTTGACATTGACTAATGTAACACCTATGTAACACTTGCGGGGTTGCAAGTTCCCCCTTGCCCTCTGCTAGCTACACCCCTGAAGGAGTGATAAATGCGTTTTCGGAGAGTGACGACTTTATTGGCTGCTACTTATCAAAAATTCTGGCTATATAGCTTGGCATACGTGCCCAGTGTGTGAAACGGGAACATTCGGATGCATTGTTAGACCAAGTTTGTTCATTGACAGCGCCATATGGTGGGCTGAAGGGCATAGAGACATACTGTAACTGTTTGCTGTAATGCCACGGTTTAATATGACCAGGAATGAACAATTGGTAGTTTTATTGTCGTAACTTGGAATGAATTGTATTTTTCACTGAACTTTAATTTTCATAGAAATCAGGACTGTTTTCTACTTGTAAAACTATTATGAGTACATTTGTAAGAATCGTGTCAATTTTTTACAATACTTTTTAAAATCAATTTTATATAATTGCTTATCAATTCCACCTTTAGAAGTGACACTGAACATTGAACACATGAATTTCACACTTCATCTAAGTACTAATTAATCAAGTTTAAAAAAACTCATGGCATACGCTATAATGAGAACACAATGGCTAGGACATTTTCCGAGATCGTCTGGTAATTCTAACGTTACTCCAGGAAATATTTTCCTGTGCTGCTTAAATTTCATGCCGAGTCGTTTGTTATGTTTTTGCTATGTAAGTGTAAATCGTGCTAAACTTGTATCGTTTGTATTTTCAGAACACAAGGTCATACTTATCGGTCTAGATAATGCAGGCAAAACCACGCTGTTGTATCAATTGTAAGTATATACTGCAGTGGCTGAATTGGGCCAAGTCAATCATAATGTACCCATGAATACAAAAACGGCAGCAAAACGCATCTTCCAATTAACTCCGATTTATAATAATCTGTTGATTGAGTCTACTCATCTGTTTATAATATAGTGCTCATTATGTATTCTAGATATGTTCACGGCTATTGTTATCTTTGTTCGCATGGAGGTTATATCTATTTATATCTAATTGCAATAGGGTCGATGTGACCTATATTTATATTGGTTTTATATGTGGGGCGTATTCGTCTTTGCCTACAAACATTCAATCAGACTAACACACTTGTAGTCATCCATATGACTAGATTATGGAATTTCACAGAATAGTTATTTTTAAGAAGTATAATTCACAACCACCAAGGTACTCCAACCTAGTAAGGTACCACTAAGTGAGCTAGTTTGTTACACAACTTGGTTTAGGTGGGAGGTACAGGGTAAGGGCACATATATAATGACATCATTGTCGAATAGGTCAGATACATTACTTCAAGGTTATTTGAGGGTTACTAAATTAACCACACTCTCGTTTTCAGTTTAATGAATGAGGTAGTACACACATCCCCCACCATAGGCTCCAATGTGGAAGAAGTGACGTGGAGAAACATACACTTTCTCATGTGGGACATTGGTGGGCAGGAGTCGATACGTACAGCCTGGCAGTCATACTATGCCAATACTGAGGTAATTACACGCTTCACACAAATTGGTGTCCTGTTATTTTTGGTGCATAGAAGAACTATTGGCAGATACAGTAGTGAATACGGTATTTACATTACAGACTGTCATGCTATAGATAGGGCCTAAGATAAAATATTGCTTGTTTCCCCTTTACTGACCGACTCGCCAAAACGCCGCTACTCGACACATTTTTTTTTGCCGATTAAAACAAAACAAAAATTATTTGTTCCGCAAAAACATATACACAAAACAGAATATACAATATACATACACACATCTTGTCAAAACAAAATAAAAAAGATTTTTCACCATCCTACCAGTACCTACTCGGTACCCTGAGAGGCGAGTAGGTAAAAGGGAAACAAAATTTTTTTTAAGGGTGGTCTAGGGTCTCTGTGAAAAATGGTTTTTTATATTGTGCTTGAAAGAACTGAAGAGTTTTGGATCACCTTCTGTATGATTATTATGTAATTATCCATGTCAATAACCTAATTTGATAATATGTACCATTTTATTGCAGGTTGTAATTTTGGTTGTGGATAGTACAGACCGGGAACGGCTGTCCACGGTGAAACAAGAGTTTTATAAACTACTTCAGAGTCAGGTAGGTAAAATAAATACACTATAATACACAATAAATACACATGTTTGCTAGGTAATGTAGCACAATCACAAGAATGTTTCACATGTTTACATCATGTTGTTCTGTTAGAATAGCTACAAGCTAAAGGATATGTGTCTTACTTTTCAGCAAGACAAATTTCTTATATACATTACTTTAGTTGGTAACATGAATAATAAGTCGCCCAAGTCTAAGAAGTATTAATAATACAGAAACCACATAAAAGTGTACATTTGAAAGCACCGCCCTGAAAATGCTTGGAGCGGTGGTGTAACCTCCTACTTCTAGGGTGAGGTACAAGAGCGGTAAGTGTAGAGCATAGCAACAGCGCAAGACAAGAAGCAAACACGAACTAGTAAAGTAACGTACCACAATCAGTTGTATTGGTCATAATGTCTACAACAAGTAGAGAGCAGACCTCCTCCCCTTGCTCCTGCTCGCAGCGCTCTTAAATCTAACAGAACTTGTTGTTCGACCTCCCTCCTCCTGACGTGCGCCGGGTGCGGGTGATAACAGATTATCCCGCAGCACTCCGGCCCCTCTTGCTACCACACCTTATTGCTCCGGCACCTTATTGCTACTATCATTACCCTCAGCCCGCACCACGCACGCTCCGAATATCTCATCTATTCCACCTGGTTTGTCGCCAACACGACCCACCTGGCCTCATGGCCAAGCTAATTGTAATTAATAAGCCATGGTGAAACCAGCTTCGTTACAGTGGCATCAAGATGACGCAGGTCAGTCCAGTTTCTCTGCACCGCCCAGCTGGGATGGTGTAAACTGAGAACAATATATATATATAGGTGTTAAACAACAGTAGAGGCCGTCCATAGGCTGCAGGCCTGAATAAGCATCGAACAGAAATTAATTAAAAATACTCACACTGTTACTGCACTTACAAAACATACACTTTATTCATGTTAAATAACTACAGATTCATGCTCTATGCTCCGCTCGAAACTTTTGCCAGCTCTATGATGCGAATTTCTGCAAAGTTATCTGAACACATTTCATACACAAAAAACACCAACCGGTGACTGTGGCTACGCCACCTGACGGAATGTCACGAATACACAACAAAAATAATTTTACTTCTAATGCTTTCTCGACGTCCACGAGGCATCCACCTTGCGTGCATAATGCTAATTATTGCACTCTAGTATACGGCCAATTCAGTGATGATCTCAGTGTGATGCGCATTCTAGTTCTATATTGTAAGAGCGCCAGCTGCATTGATAACAATTGTCTGTGACGAAATTAATTGGCGCTTGGTGCCAATGATGCATGTGCAAGTGCGTGTAGCTTTTGTGATGGCCCCCGCGTTCTAAAATACACCGTTGGCAGCAACGCATTGCAAATAGTAATGGAAAGAGTGCAAACGGTTGAATAACTTGCATTGACTTTATCGGCTGTATAATCAGACAAATAGTATATTTTTTCTGCGCTGCCATCATTTGGTCAGAATCACTGATTCAAATTTCTGTGATTCCTCAGGTGTATGTTACATAACACCCAATTCTTAGTGAAACATAGACTCAGCTATAGCATATCAAAATGAAGACTGTACCACACTGAACTTATTCTCTACTTCGTTATCTCTGCCATTGGCTTACACAGTAGGTACATCATTTTGGACATCTCACTCTGTTCAATCATTTTAGCTAGTTGTAAGATTTTAATTGTGATGCTCATTTTTGAGCGCGTTTTAATACAAAATATCATTTTCATGACCAGACAAACTTAATAAGGAATCACTCAAATAAGCTGTTAAGTGAGAAAAATTTGCAAGAATCTCGAATACTCATTGCCAATATTGTGAATGAATTTTTGCTCGGACCTTGTGCGTCGTTTTTGGGCAACTTATATACATGTGATATCTGGCGACCAATTTTTTATACGAAGACTGTACATACCGTTTATAAAAACAATATTAAGATTTGGTTGTAATCCATACCATGGATCTATGTATAAGGACACAGCGAGTCTATATATATATCAAGAGAATAATAGAGATCTCTATTTTGTACTCTTGATATTATATATATAAGTTACTGGGTGATAAGAGCTGAGAGCTTGCATGTACAGAATATTGTATGCTGAGCTGCAATTTGCTCAATGATGAACGTAATAGTTTACGTGCACTGCTTTTAACTGTAGTGGCGTTCAACACTAGAGATCTCTGTACTTGCAGTCACCTACACATCATCAGGAAGTAGTGAAGTAAGATTTGGTCGCGGTAGGATCAGAGAGAACACTGGCAATTTGTGAAAAATGTTCGAATACGGTTACTTTGTTCATGCAGATGTAGCGTATGCAGATTTGAATGCAAATATTAAAATTGCGCCGGGCGGCAAAACATTAGCGTTGCGTATATTTAAAGAAATCTATGTAAAGAGCTAACAGGGCCATAGAGCGCATTCCAGGAGGTGTAGTTTTCACATAGAAGTGGACCCTTGAGTGTCAGCCAACTTGTGGTCTGCGTCTCGCAATGAACGCATCATCCATAGAAACACATTAAATTCGGTTCAGAATATGTTTCTTTGGCAATGGGACTGTGCCAGCAATGTACCGACTAGTGCACAAAATGAAATGTCACGGTGTGGTGTTTAAGTTGCGAGTGCTACTTGAATGGAGTATTGTGTTGATGTTGCACTAGGTCCTTTAGATTCACATGATCTCGGCGTGTAGTGCGTGCACGACACCTTCATATGCGTGAGCAGCAGAGCCCTATCCTAACGTATTTGATGTCGTTCATGCAGATGCCTTTACAATGCGCGCTAACAGAACCCGATCAATTAAAATGGCCAATTGGCCAATGTTGTCATGGCAGCCGACGTTATCTACTTGCACATTACGATAATAACGCTGGTGTTGTGCCCATTTTGATAACGTTAATACATAATGTTATACTAAATTAGAGTTTCCGATCAAGACTCATACTTACGGTGGGATGGAGTCTAGCTTTCTAAATGAGTTTTTTTATTTAGCATATATCATTATGAGATATGTAGTGCCAAGCTCGTTGAAGCACCTTGGGCGTCCATTTGGCTCTTTCTGCACAGCTTTCAAGGATCTCGTGTTTAAATAGTAACTGAGCACATGCGCGACCTTCAATATTCAAATCGCTCAAACTGACTGCATGGTGACAGAAAAGACATCTTTCTGGATCACTGCAATGGATGCATGCATGGACCGCTGCCTGATTGACGGCAATATTGAGGTTTCTTTACACACGCTCCTGAAGTGATAACTTGCTCCAAACAATTTACTCAACTAGCAGGCCCTATCTCTCTTCCTTTTTCGTTTTAGATACTAGAACTTATTCCGCCTATTATACTGACAACAAACGCAGTATCTGTATGCGATATGTCAGTTCACTGGTGAAAATCGTAATAATGAATCAGTTATGGACTTCGGAATAATTGGTCAGAATAATTATTGCGCATGAAAGACAGACTAGCCGTGATATTATAGTTGCCGGTGTGTGGTGGTGGGGGGTCGTCTGAATCTTCCGCCCCTCATGGTACGGCCCTCCAGTATACCACAGCTTTCACAGAAGACGTTCATTTGGATGTTATTGGGGTGTTTTGAGGTCGTGTAAATCTCGATTGCATTGTATAACCTATAACCTGAAATGTGAAAGTTTGTAATCAACAGTTGTTGCTTCGACTTCTTACAGTGTGCAATTCTGCGCAAGGAATGCTGATCTGGCGGGACCAAACAATTATACTTAACATATTAACCCATTATAACCGTATACATCGTGAGATTTTATGACGTTAATGGTAGGAGATCTGGTGTAATTAGATGAAAACCCCTACCTTGGCGTTTGCTAGTACTGAACTCTCCCCTATATATACACATATATATGTATATATATAATACTATATATATAACAGTCTGATTGACGTCGATATTAAGTCGACTCAAGTGTTCTAGTGCTGTAAATGCATAATAGGTGTCATATTAAGCATCATTTTGTCATGAACGCGTGTTGCTTTTATTTCAATTAATTTGTCGTACCTGTGTCGAAACCATAGGATGTGACCATAGTAGTTTAACAACATTTCGGGAAGTAAATTGACAACTGAAGGATAGATATTGAATTTCCAGCAAGGGTGCAAGTGAAAAAAAAGATTGAACATTACGACCAAACTTTATTGCTCTGACCGTTACGATATAGACTGTCTGCTTTACTAGAGATATCTGTATAGTTTAACTAAAATTGTACATGTAAATATGCCCAAACCGGATTTGTAATAAAACAATGGTGGTTAGCGCTGTATATAGTCATGGTCCTGTATGTTTTTCATCTTAATGGTAGATGTATTTATTACCGCCGCGCCAACGGCAGTTGCAGGGAGGTAATTGATCGCTCTCGTGGTGTGTTCGTGGTGCTGTGTGTAGCCAAGCAGCGACCAGCTGTTATACACTGTTACATGTTACACGCGTTGGCGCGCATCGATTCAGCACCAGCTCGCCTTTAGGGCGTCCAGTCAGCAGCAGCTCGCCTTAGGGCGTCCAGTCAGCAAGCAGCCAGCAGCGAGCCAGCTTTTATACACATGTATACATGTTACACGCTCGCGGAGGATTGCACTCTTTCTGAATGCCCTCCCTGTCTAGTTTCCAGCCGGAGTGTGCTTGGTCACCGTGCACGTGACCTGTATAAACAAGCGAACACTGAAGAAATTATGCGTTCGGTTGGATAATTTCGCCGCGTATGCACGCACGCCACGCACACACGCCAACGCACATTAGACGCTACGCACGTACATAGAGCACGCACGCACACACACAGCAACAACAACACACAACACACACACCACTACACACACACACACACAACACACACACAAACAAATGCACACACACACCACAAACAAATGCACGCACGCCGCACACACACAGCACACACACACACACACACACACACAAAACAAATGCACGGCACGCACACACACACCACACACACACACACACACACACACACACACACAAACAAATTGCACGCACGCAACCACGCACGCACACACACACACACACAACACACACACACAGCACAACCACACACACACATCACACACACACAAACCAAATGCACGCACGCACACAACACACGTGAGCCCGTCGTGACATTGTTGCGCAGAGTGTTGTGCGCAATATAGATGGAGCATAGAAAGCATGTAAATTCGCATTCACGACCGTTCGGCGGTCGATCACTCGTCAGCATATCTCGCAAGCACTCACTCTCATCACCAGGACGCAGCGACACTTTGCCTTGGGCTGTCTGATCGTTTGTACGGTAGACGCAGCGGTGGTCTAGCGCAGGTCACCACCGAATGAACCTCAATGATGAACACAGTAGTTCTCAACGAGACGAAAAGCCCCTGTAATATATGACTTCGCGGACAGGCGTTTAGCTGGCGAGAGAATTAGAATAGAGCCTTCCGCTCCCACTACACACACCGATGCCGTCCTGTCTTCCTCATGCTAGTCTCTTCTTGTCGTCATCCTCTGCCTTATCTCTCTCTCTCTCTCTTCGCGCGCGCCCGCCCGCGCGCGGTCGTTCTCCCCCCGCTTCTTATCTCTCTCTTTCTCTCTCTTATCTCTCCAGTCTCGCCTCTCTCTTCTCTCCTCTCTTCTCGTCTCTCTCTCTCCTGCTCTCTCTCTCCTCTCTCTCTCTCTCTCTCTCCTCTCTCTCTCTGTCTCTCTCGTCTCTCTCCTCTTCTCTCTCATCTCTCTCTCTTCTCTCTCTCTCTCTCTTCTCTCCTCTCTCTCTCTCTCTCTCTCTGTCTCTGTCTCTGTCTCTGTCTGCTCTCTCGTGTCCTCTTCTCTCTCTCTCTCTCTCTCTCTCTCTCTCTCTCTTCTCTCTCTCTCTCTCTCTCTCCCTACGCTCTTTTATCTCTCCCGCCTCTCTTTCTCTCTCTCATGCTCATGTCTCTATCTCTCGCTCATCTATTCTCGCAGCGCTCTCTCTCCCCTCTCTCTTCTCTCTCTCTCTCTCTCTCTCTCTCTCCTCTCTCTCCTCTCTCTCTCCCTCTCTCTCTCTCGCGCGCGCTTTTTATATCTCTCCATCTCTCCCTCTCTCTCTCTCGCGCGCGCTTTTTATCTCTCCGATCGTCTCTCTTCTCTCTCTCTCTCTCTCTCGATCTCTCTCTCTCTTCTCTCTCTCTCTCTCCCTATAGCTCTCTCCTCATCTCCATATCACATTCACAGACACACACACACACACACACACACCCACACACACACACACACACACACACACACACACCGACATACGCACGCGCACACGTACACGCGCAAATAACCAACAACGCAAGACAACCGACAGGTACGGATTGCCAGCGTAGGCGTTAGAGTGTTGACGTGTACGGCACCTGGGTTGACGTGTACGCACTTGTGTTGACGTGTACGCACCTGTGTTGACGTGTACGCACCTGTGTTGACG